GATTTTTCAAGAGCATAAAGACTAATGGATTAAATGGTTAAAAATTAAAGAATTTAGTTTCACAAATAATTAAACTGAGAAGGGATTTTTCTTTAACTAAAAAGAAAGGGAGTGCGTGCGTCCGTGGATCAGTAAACTGGAGCTCTTTCTAAACGGATTCATCAACGGTGGGTACAACTTATTCTTGATTTGACAGTAAACCAGATTTCAAATTTAGAAGTTTTATTAAAATTTGAGTATTTTTTTTTAACAAAAAAGTTCAACTACATATTCTTAAATACATGCAACTGAAACACACCACACACACCTCTTTTCATAACATTGTCAAAACTACCAAAACTTGAAAATTTAAAAAAGTTAAAAGGATGTGTACTGAAAAAGATGATCAAATGCATATTAAAAAGGAGTAATTTGGTATGAGAAAGTAAATTTAACGTCATAAGCTTGGGCATCTCTACACTAGAGCCATGTCCTCCTCTGGTCCTATTTATAAGATAGAGAGAGAAGGTTTTTTATTTGTTTTATTTATAAGTTATTTTATTAAAGTTTTACCACGAATGTACCGTATTATCCTTTATTTATTATAGTGTAGATAGTTAGTTTTTTTAAATGAATATATATTAAATAGGGGTAAAGTTAAAAAGTTATTGTATATTTAATGAATAGTTAATACAATTTAAGGTTTTTTTTAACTGTATGAAATATGTTGAAAGTATCTTATAACATCCAACAATTACACTGTTTTAAATGAATTTGGATAGAACACTTTTAAGAATAAAATAATTTTTTTTAAAAAAATAAATATCTGAATGCATGCCTAAACGCCAATTCAACTTACGATAATGGCCATAATTACTATACAGAAGGTATATAACAACAAAACTCCCCATCAAGCACTTCTTTTTAAGACACTTTAAGGATTTGTATATAGGCGATTTTTTTACTGACAGAATTTAATGATCCGATGATGCGTAGATTGGGTTAAATATACAAGAAAAAGATAAAAATAAAGTTAGATGAGAGTGATGGACCCAGAAAAAAGGAGTTGCGAGGGCAAATATTAACAATTTAATGATTCCATGTTGGGTTGACTGGGTCAAATGGATCAAAGAGTCCATTTAAATTTGGTTGAAGACAAATAGACAATTTAAAAATCAAGTTAGATGAGGAGTGATGAACCCAGAAAAATCAAAATTAGCAGGCCGAAATCATGCCGACCATTACTACTACTATTACTTTTTTTTAGTGTATAAGTATCTTTTTATTAGAGGTAATTTTATCCAACTTACTATTGGGTACTAAACATGGGTATCTCTCATTAGTTCGCCCCATCGTGAAGAGCTAGCCACTTTCACTAGATCTAACTCCTGTTGGTCTATTACTATTACTCCTTACAATTTTTAATATAAGAATTAGTTGATGGGTAAATTTAGTTCTAAATATAAGTTCTCAATTTACCATATCCCAAAGTTATAATTTTTTTCTTCAAAATATTCTCATTGATTATAAAAAATTTTCACTAAAGAATAATTCTAATACACACCATTAAATAAGATAATTTAAAGAAAGCAAGATACGTTTGTTAAAATAACCCTTTCAACTAATTTCCTTGATATTCTAAACATAAGAAGCAACGGTAGTATTGTCATTATTTGGGGTGTCGGCAAGAAGAATATTGTTTTCTTTTTTGGGAGGGTGGGGGGGGGGGGGTTGATTTAGTAGAGTTATGTGAAGATTTCTCCATTATAATGGGGGGCAAGTGGCCCCGTGGTCTATAACGGAGGTGCGTCATTTGGCTGTCGCAAATCGCAATCATAACCCAACGTCTCCCGCCATGCGTTCAAAAACGAATAAACCAGGATCTCATTTCGGCCTCCAGGTTTGGATCCAAGTGGGAAATAATTGCACCCCGACAAAAAATCCCGCAAATTTTGGGATAAAACCATCAGATCTTTCTACATCCTGAATGCAACTCCAATTTTTGAACTCCCACTTGCAGTAAAAACTCTTTTAAGTGCGTTTATTAAATTAACTATAGGACTAACAAAAAATAATAATAATCATGGGGGATCGTCTTCTTTCCAATCCATTTGTATTGCTTTATTATATTACTCTTCCGGTCCTTAATATAGGACCCAATTGTTGAGTTAGTTTTGATCCTAAATATAAGACCAATTTATCATATTTATCAGTTTTTTCTAAATTGCCCCTATGAATACTCCTTTAACCATAATCAAGTAGAAGAAGAAGATGGGTTTTAAAAGTGAGTTTTATATTATGGTATTTTAGGAAAACGTGTCACATTTCTTATAATTAACTAACTTACCTAACTTCTTTAATCTAATCAAATTAGTTAAGTGAGTTTTATATTAAGGACCGGATGAGTATATTCTTGGAATATACTTCCACACTAAAACCTACCAGTCAAGCCTTCCTCAGTACAAATAGCATTTGCCTTGTACTGGTAAGAACTCATTTGCAAGCTCTCTCTTCTCTGTATCTCCGTTTGATTCTACCGTTCTTGTTCATCAGCTTTTGAGCTTCGTCCATGGCTGACCAAAACAACCAGCACCATCTTCCTCATGCTGATTCCATGGATCATATCAGAATAGATATTTCTGATCCTCAAGTTCTCCAGGAGCCTGCAAAAAAAGCATCATCTGGTATGGTTTCTATCCACATTTTACTTTTCTTGTGTTATCCACCGATAGATCTGCTGATATGGTTCTTCGCATGAACAAAATCTAATCTTGGGTTGATTTAAACATAACCAGCGAGCCCAATCTGTCAACATTATGCATGATTATTCATCAAACGAGCGATATTATTATTGGAGACATAGAGACTCGCCTCAGAGAAGCATGAGGATCGATGCTGCTACACTATATATTTCTCATGTCAGTTTTGAGACTAGCTAATGTCAATGCATTCTTCACTTGAAATCTTTCTAATTTGAAGATCTAAAGTAAAGCCATTGATCTTTATCGTAAAAGAGGTATACTAATATATTCTCTTTAGTTTGTCTTCTTTTGCTATGTTTTCCTACTTTGGCTATAATATATATGTGATGCTTTTACTGATTTTGATGCATACAATGGATTATAGAAGTGTGTTCTAATTTGTTTAAGAATAAATCTTTTGTTTTAACAAAATATTCTGGAAGCTAGCTAAAAATAGCTATGGGCTAAATTAAATTAGACTTCAAATTATGCGTGATAATTAGGTAGTTCAATCCCTTACCTTAAATTCAGATTATGATTTGCCAAAATAATGAAAATTTGTCGAATTTAGTCATTTGGGGCTAACTATTAGGTGCTAATAAATAAGGTCAAGACTTAAAAAAAAAAAAAAACTACAAATTTCCCCTTACTATATATATGTGTGTGTGTGTGTGTACATATATATGCTCTTCTTGCATGTTGGCTAATTATCATTCGTTTATGCATTCACATGGTGGAAAATTTTGTTTCTATTTTACCATAGCTATGCACTAGGTTTGTCTTTCCATACATTTACCAATTATTATTTTATTTGATAATTTTAGATACTGATACTTAACAATGCCACAGCTAGGGTTCTTTGAAGTATATTTGTTTTAAAGTGATGAGAGAAAAAGAGAGGCATGCTACAGTTTGGATTCCGTCCTCTCTATTTTCGGTTCCGCAAAACACACGTATTCTTGAACAGAGCAAAGGACTTTGACTAAAAGGCCTGCAAAAGAAGAAGAGTCAAAAAAGCCCCCACCGACCCAAACAATTTTGCATTCATATGCACTAACTGCTTCAACTGAATCCAAGGTAAGGTTTTTACAAGTTTATCTATAATAAGAAATGGTGACAGGCTTTTCTTAGCTCCTGCAAATTTAAGGTAGGCTGTCTTTTTCATCTTTCATATCTCTGTCTGCACCAAGTAATTTGCCATGCCATTTTTATGCACCATGATAACAGTGATGTTATTATTTTGTGCCAATTTCTATAGCAAGTTCAAATTAATTAAGGTTTTATCAGTTTAGAAGTATATTGATCTCATCACTATTCTGTACTTCTGTTTAGTTATTCTTGGAAGCATTTGCATGTACAGGATCTGACTTGAACGATTCGCAGAATCTTGGTGTACGTGAAGAGAGAGCTCAAGATCTTAGTCCTGCCATAATCAATTCCAATCCTTCCCATGATTTGCCCCCGACAGGATCGCTCACAGACAGTTCTAGCAATGTCACTTCTGCAAACCCCCCTGTTAATAATCGTACGAATAGTAACATCGTTGCGACCTCTTTTGCATCACAACAACGTGAAGATAATAATAACGAACTAGGCTTCACAGTTTTTGCTGTTGAACTTCTAGGTGCTCTGACCAATGTGGCTGTTTCCTCAAAAGCAAAACAAGACCAGGTTCTGATTTATGTTGTGGTGGCTTGTTCTGCACTTGCCTTCTCTATTTCTTCAACTGCTCTTGTGTTGCACGAGAAAAGGCCCTTGATTGCCAAGAAGATGCAAAGAGCTGCGTTTGTGATTGGGACGTTTGGATTGATGGGAATAATGGGCATGCTTCTGCCTTCAACGATCTCCTGGTGCTTCACTGTCTCTGCCTTCCTTGTTTGGATGTTGATGTTTGCCGTTGCAAGTTTGATTAAGTGAGTGGAATCCATATTTGAACTCACACGTGTAACTTTGCATGTATAAGTAACCATTGTGGTTGCCCTTGTGCATTTGTTTTTCTGGGTTCTTGTCTTAGTATGGTTTTTGTGAAGAGTGCTTGATTTTCCTCCAGTGCTAATAATCTTGTATTGGACGTCGTGGCTAAGAGATAGTGGGACTTGGGCAGACATGGATCATTAGCTATTAAACTGTTAATTTCTTAAACAAGTTCTTAGGAGGTAGGGGTAGGAATTTTCTCTCATAACATGTAATTCATTTCCATGCCAGATTCTGATTCAGTCCTCCAAGATTTAATTGATTTTAGACAAAAAGAAGTTTACTGGTGTCGGTTAGAGTTGCGGGATTTAGATGAGACTATGAGAAGGGAATCAAAATTGACAAAAGATGACTAAGGGAAAAGTTGTCAGCAAGAATTTTAGGAATGCGTCTAATAATAGAACAAATGATTCTAATACGCACATCAAACACACAAGAATCCTGCAAGTGAAGCCAGAAAAAAGATAATTGCTCTTTATATATATGTATGTGTGTGTGTGTGCGAGCGCACACACGAAAAGAATAATTGTTTTATGATAAAAACCTTCTATTACCTAAATATATGTATATCTATATCCAGACAAAAGTCATATGAGCTTAGACACCAAAAGTAGCGACTTATAACAATATTGATGATTTATTTTCAATAGTCTATACATGATTCACGTGAACATCCATAGTCTCATGATTCACAAGGTTTCACCTGACTTTGTTTACAAGGTAAGTACACATTTAATTTATGGTGCTTATGTATAAATATGATTTTAAACAAATTTCTCTTCTCTGAATATATCCAATAATTTGAGGATGATATATTTGTTCATACAGTATTTAGTATCAGAGCTAAAATCTCTGGTGGATGAATCACTAAGGCCAGGGCCTGAAAGAAGGAGTACGAACATGTACAAAAGCTCTCTACATTTCCAGAATAAATTATATATGAGTTCATTTTTGTGATAAATATATTACACAAATTATTTTTTTTCAAATCCAATTTCAGAATGCTTATGGACTGAAGATGAGAAGTGGGAAGCGGTCTGGTCGTGCTCACAACAAAGAAAGGGAATCTGATGAAAGGAACAATGAAATACCGAAGAAGATCGCTCGCACTTACTTGGAAGTTGGAGGTAACTAATACCTTTTTCTTTTTGCATTTAATTAGTGTTAAAATTAATTTGATTTATCATGTAGTTAACTTACAAGTACTACCTCCGCTTTTTAATATAAGACTTAGTTTGATATTCAATTGCTCCTAAATATAAGATTTTGATCCATTTTATCTCTCATGTTTATTCATTTTGCACAATGTAGTCCTTATAATCACTGTACATTTTAAATGTTTTATCAAATAGTAGTTCTAACTAATATACATGATTAGCAAGAGTATTTTAGGGAAGACAATACTTGTTTATAACAAATAACTTACTTAACTAATCTCTATAACTTACTCAAATTAGTCAACTAGTTTTCATATTAAGGATCGAAGCTAGTGCCTAATAATAACTTTACAAAAGTTAACAAATAAAGTTAGTTAAAATTAGTTATTTCTTAAAAAATATCAAAACTACCTTCATTAAAGATCATTAGTTAGAAGAGTTTGGTTAATTATATACATAGTTAAGAAGTTTTAGAGGTACTAGGTGAAAAAAATTAATACTTTAGATAGGACATGTAATATTATGTAAACAAAGCTAGAAGTCCTTATAATAATTATAATGACCGAATCGAGGGAGTATGATTGTATTAATAAATTTAATATAGTAAATAAATAGTGCTTTTGCATGTAATCATTATATTATAGTTAGAGTTTATGATAAATTATAATTCACATATCATTCAACAAAGGTTATTAGAGGGGAAGGGGGCAAGCACGTTATATGTAATCTTGAATCTAGGTCCTTTGAAATACTAGTAAAACATAAAATTAGATAATGTATAGAAATAACTTTATAGGTCCTGTTTCTAGATCTGCATATAGATATCATAGATTCAACCTCTCTTGTCTCATTCTAACTTTATCATAAAATCCTTCATAGGATTCTAATCAAATGAGTTTCACTTGTCATGAAGCTCGTCATTTATCTATCTCTACAGACAACACTTTGATTGGGGAGAGTCTTGACAATATAAGTTAGAGCTAAAACTAACTTTAAAATTAACTCTCTCTCTCTCTCTCTCTCTCTATATATATATATATATATATGAATGCTAATATTTTTTTTTGGCCAAATATATGAATGCTAATATAAATTTTAATTTTTAATCTTTAAACATATTTTGAAATTCTTATGTGGTTGGAGAACACAATTTTGAAAAATTGAAAATAGTTAGTGTGTATATGTGTGTTATTACTTATTGAGCCAATTCTTTTTTGCTTCAGAATTCATAGGAAAATCCATGAGTTGGTACAAGAGTAGTTCAGCTGCACAGAGTGACAATGCGCGAGTAAACTTGAGGTTGGATTATGCTTAACAACTGCTTGTTGCATTATAGTTAATGAACGAAAATCACATTAATAAACAAGAGGCTTGAAGGCGTTGCTTGAGACCAAACAATTCTCAAATAATGTGTTGTAAAATTTATGACTTGATACTTATGCTGCTTAATATTAAGTGGGTCTCAATTATTTGTTTACAGCCACTTCGTTCCTTCAAACTGCAGAATTTGAATTCATGTAATCATATCTTGGGAGTAATTATAATTGTGAAGAAAAAAAATTATACGTTAAATATTCCAGTATACTGATATTTCTTTTGCTTTACAAGTAGATATATAACAGAGACTTTCTTCTTCTTTTTAACTATAGTTTCTAATTCTATCCCAATCCAACTGCTTCATTATCAGTATCAGCAAAAAAATTTTTAATGTAAATAATTAATTTAACTAATTTTCTTAATATTTTTTTAATTAACTATCTAACTCTTCTACATTAAAGTTTAAGAGTAATATTATATTACTTTCTGGGTGTCGGCAAAACGTTTTTTTTTTTTTTTTTGGGGGTGGGGGGTGGTTTTATTTAGTGGGGTTACGCGAAGTCTTCCCCCTGCACGTTGGCTGCCACAATCATAAATCAACATCTCCATGCGCGTGTTTGGTTTTTATCATTAAATGATGAGACAGAAATAAGAGAGGAAGGCCAGAGAGTGGGACCCATAACGGCAAAAAACGAATACCCCAGGATCTCATCATTTCGGCCTCCATGTGTGGATCTAAGTGGGAAATAACTGTACCACACGACAAAACTCCGCAAATTTAGGGATAAAAACCATTTAGATCTTTCTGGATCCCTCATGCAACTCCAATTATTGAACTACACTTCCAGTAAAAACTCTTTTAAGTTCGTTTATTTAATTAATTATTACACTAACAAAACAAAAAATGAATCACATGCGCGCTCCCACCCCTGCGGAATCGCCTTCTTTCCAGTATCCATTTTTGCTTCATTATTGTACTTTCCACATTCAAACCTACCAGCCAACCCTTTCTCTGTACAAAAGCGCCATAGACTTTGATTCTACCTTTCTTGTTCATCAGCCTTTGAGTTTCGTTCATGGCTCAGTACCAAAACCACCAACATTTTCGTGACGATGATTCCATGGATCCTCACAAGTTCATCGAGAGCTTCATCCCAGCGTCATGCGGGGAGAAGAAAAGGCACGAGTTTGATCTCAAATACTCAGTGTCTCACACACACAAACACTGATTCAGAAACACCTGGGAATGGATCAAAGGGTCCATTTAAATTTGGTTGAAGACAAATAGACAATTTAAAAATCAAGTTAGATGAGGAGTGATGAACCCAGAAAAATCAAAATTAGCAGGCCGAAATCATGCCGACCATTACTACTACTACTACTTTTTTTTTTAATGTATAAGTATCTTTTTATTAGAGGTAATTTTATCAGACTTACTGTTAGGTACTAAACATGGGTATCTCTCATTAGTTCGCCCCATCGTGAAGAGCTAGCCACTTTCACTAGATCTAACTCCTGTTGGTCTATTACTATTACTACTTACAATTTTTAATATAAGAATTAGTTGATGATTAAATTTAGTTCTAAATATAAGTTCTCAATTTACCATATCCCAAAGTTATAATTTTTTTCTTCAAAATATTCTCATTGATTATAAAAAATTTTCACTAAAGAATAATTCTAATACACACCATTAAATAAGATAATTTAAAGAAAGCAAGATACGTTTGTTAAAATAATCCATTCAACCAATTTCCTTGATATTCTAAACATAAGAAGCAACGGTAGTATTGTCATTATTTGGGGTGTCGGCAAGGAGAATATTGTTTTCTTTTTGGGAGGGTGGGGGGGATTGATTTAGTAGAGTCATGTGAAGATTTCTCCATTATAATGGGGGGCAAGTGGCCCCGTGGTCTATAACGGAGGTGCGTCATTTGGCTGTCGCAAATCGCAATCATAACCCAACGTCTCCCGCCATGCGTTCAAAAACGAATAAACCAGGATCTCATTTCGGCCTCCAGGTTTGGATCCAAGTGGGAAATAATTGCACCCCGACAAAAAATCCCGCAAATTTTGGGATAAAAACCGTCAGATCTTTCTACATCCTGAATGCAACTCCAATTTTTGAACTCCCACTTGCAGTAAAAACTCTTTTAAGTGCGTTTATTAAATTAACTATAGGACTAACAAAAAATAATAATAATCATGGGGGATCGTCTTCTTTCCAATCCATTTGTATTGCTTTATTATATTACTCCTCCGGTCCTTAATATAGGACCCAATTGTTGAGTTAGTTTTGATCTTAAATATAAGACCAATTTATCATATTTATCAGTTTTTTCTAAATTACCCCTATGAATACTCCTTTAACCATAATCAAGTAGAAGAGGAAGATGGGTATTAAGAAAGATAATTATGGTATTTTATGAAAAACATGTCACATTTCTTATAATTAACTAACTTACCTAACTTTTTTAATCTAATCAAATTAATTAAGTGAGTTTTATATTAAGGACCGAAGGAGTATATTCTTGGAATATACTTCCACACTAAAACCTACCAGTCAAGCCTTCCTCAGTACAAATAGCATTTGCCTTGTACTGGTAAGAACTCATTTGCAAGCTCTCTCTTCTCTGTATCTCCGTTTGATTCTACCGTTCTTGTTCATCAGCTTTTGAGCTTCGTCCATGGCTGACCAAAACAACCAGCACCATCTTCCTCATGCTGATTCCATGGATCATATCAGAATAGATATTTCTGATCCTCAAGTTCTCCAGGAGCCTGCAAAATTAAAGCATCATCTGGTATGGTTTCTATCCACATTTTACTTTTCTTGTGTTATCCACCGATAGATCTGCTGATATGGTTCTTCGCATGAACAAAATCTAATCTTGGGTTGATTTAAACATAACCAGCGAGCCCAATCTGTCAACATTATGCATGATTATTCATCAAACGAGCGATATTATTATTGGAGACATAGAGACTCGCCTCAGAGAAGCATGAGGATCGATGCTGCTACACTATATATTTCTCATGTCAGTTTTGAGACTAGCTAATGTCAATGCATTCTTCACTTGAAATCTTTCTAATTTGAAGATCTAAAGTAAAGCCATTGATCTTTATCGTAAAAGAGGTATACTAATATATTCTCTTTAGTTTGTCTTCTTTTGCTATGTTTTCCTACTTTGGCTATAATATATATGTGATGCTTTTACTGATTTTGATGCATACAATGGATTATAGAAGTGTGTTCTAATTTGTTTAAGAATAAATCTTTTGTTTTAACAAAATATTCTGGAAGCTAGCTAAAAATAGCTATGGGCTAAATTAAATTAGACTTCAAATTATGCGTGATAATTAGGTAGTTCAATCCCTTACCTTAAATTCAGATTATGATTTGCCAAAATAATGAAAATTTGTCGAATTTAGTCATTTGGGGCTAACTATTAGGTGCTAATAAATAAGGTCAAGACTTAAAAAAAAAAAAAACTACAAATTTCCCCTTACTATATATATATGTGTGTGTGTGTGTGTGTACATATATATGCTCTTCTTGCATGTTGGCTAATTATCATTCGTTTATGCATTCACATGGTGGAAAATTTTGTTTCTATTTTACCATAGCTATGCACTAGGTTTGTCTT